TATATATATATATATATATATATATATATATATATATATATATACGTTATATTGGATAAGATTATAGATATTGTGAAGTAGCGTATTCTATCTAAATTGTAACAACTAAAACCTATTATAAAACTATTTACACTTACTGTTACAATATATTGACACAACATTAAAGATTGTATCCCACGAAAACGACATCAATTACGGCGATAGTCACTTACTATCGGGTGAGCTGCATGCTCGTTTGCACATTATATTATAAAAAAAATTGTCAAAAAAGCCAGTTATTTCGATTTTAAAACTAAATTATTTAACTGATTTTGATAAAAATTCTATGAGGCCAATCTGTAAGTACCTATATCCTATCAGATAAAAAAATATATTTCTAAATCGATTTAAAACTAACGGTGTTATGAGATAACAAACATAAAAAAATACAACCGAATTAATAAACTCCTTCTTTTTGAAGTCGGCTGAAAAGATATAACATTTTCGTAATTAACATTGTTTTATTAAACTTGAATAAAAGTAAAGATATTCTAAAAGAGCAAAATAAAAAATTATTTATGAATACATTGAAATCGATAAGGAAATATGTTATATTAAACAAAAATTGGACTATACAAGCAAAACGTGGCCTATCTCCTATCTAGAGACACGCAAGAAACCGATAGATTATCATCAAGAGCACTTTATTCTTATTGGAGACTGCAAGAAAATAAAAATAATAATTTATTTACCCTTATTACATTTTGAAAAGCTTTAAACGGCGAAACCGTTCAAGTATTTATTCATCATCATCATCATTCAGCCATCTGTTCACTGCTGGACATAGGTCATTCCATAGACTGCCATAAGAAACTGTCCTGAGCCACCTGCATCCACTGACTCCCTGTAATTCATTTGAGCTTGTCGCCCCATCTAGTGGAGGGTCGTCCTACACTGCGTTTGCCTGTACACGATCGCCTAGCTATTCTAGCATGAGTACCAGTAAATTGGTGAAATTATATTGTGGAACATACTATTCACTAATATTTAACCTTTTAAATTTATTTGATTTCGTCCACATGATCGGAGTACGTTGATTGCCTGAGACTTTAACACTTTAGTAGCCTTTGTCCTTAATCTCGTATATTACGTGTATACAAAATATTTATAATGATGGTAATGTTTCTAAAAGGCAATGAAGAGATAAATCCACTTCCTCATTTATATTATAGTAAGGATTTATACCGCCAAGCAGCTGATAATGAACAATTATCTACTTTAAGTGCCTTATTCGAGTTTGAAGGATACAAAAAAGACCTAAGTAGTAAAAGAACTGGGTACTGTGACTCGAAGACGACCATCCGGTTGTCCTACACTTCGTTTGCCCGTACGGGGTCGCTACTCAAGAATCTTTCTTCCCTTATCGATTATTCGGTTATCGATTCTTCGAACTACGTGACCAGCCCATTGTCACATCAGCTTGCTTATTCTTCGGGCTTCGTCGGTTACATTGGTTCTTTTGCGAATGTCCTCGTTATTTATAATTTAATCAAATCCTATTGAAGCAGATCACTTTTTTTTTATACAACATAGAATGAAAAACAAGCTAACAATTCACCTGATGGAAAGTGGTAACCGTCGCCTATAAACATGAGCAGTACCATGGACATAACAGAGTATACTGTTTCGCCCATGATACGCTCCATGCGTTGCCATTCCTGCGGACTCAGGTGTTATTCCTCTGTTATTCATTTCACTTAAGGCCTTTATGACAAATGGAGTTTCAATTTATTTTGGTTTTTAATCTTCAAAGGGCAAATATTATCTCGCATATCATCAAACTAGCCGAATACTTGTGTACCATTTTCAAGTAAAAAAAGAATGTGTGAGTAACATGTTACTCGGCACGTTCGTCGGTATATTAATTCACACGCCAGTCGGTACTATAAAAAGGAAATTTACTTTTATTTTCACCGACTTGCGTATTAAAATACCAAGTGTAGGCACCCACCTTTATTAGTTTTAATTCAAGTAATGAAAGCATTACTCTATTGCCAACATGTAAGCAAACAGCTATTAAATCCACACAAACACTGTCACTTCTTAGACGATTCTGCAGTCCTAGTACATCATAAAAGTAATGGTAAATAAATGCGTTCACGACTTTAATCCTAAACGGAGTAATCACATAAACATGACGTTGTGGCGAACGTAACACGCCATATCGGCTTTTCAGTGATGTGTTCATGTCTATAGGCGACGGTTACCACTTTTACCATTTGATGGGCCTCTTTACCATTCTAAGTGTAAAAAAAAACTCATAATCATCCCTATAAATATCATTGTAAAGAATTATTTTGAAAAATTAATCTAATACATAAAATTCTCGTGTCACGGTGTTTGTTACCAAACTCCTCCGAAACGGCTTTACCGATTTTCATGAAATTTTGTGTGCATATTCAGTAGGTCTGAGAATCGGCCAACATCTATTTTTTATACCCCTCAATGATAAGGGTGACCCACCACTAAAAATTTTTTTTTTATTTTTTTGACAAAATTTTTTATTTTTGTTTTATTATGATTTAGCATTGAAAAAGACATACAAATTCAAATTTTCACGTTTTTATGATTAACCCCTGTCGTTTAATCGCAATTTTTATATGGTTGTAAGTAACAATCGAATATAATAATTGTAGTACGATATATTTTCATGTATAGTTCTAGAAATAATGTATATGGTAAAACAACGTTTACCCAGTCAGCTAGTAATATATATATATATATATATATATATATATATATATATATATATATATATATATATATATATATATATATATATATATATATATATGGAATAAAAGTGGAATATCCTATTATATATATAATAATTGCTAATTTATCACATTAGTTAAATATGTATTAGTAATTTGTATGTATCTACTATAATAAGATATTGTTTGTTTCCCAAATAAAATTAAATATCTACCTATATCGATTTTGTATATTTTTTTTATATTGAAATAATAATGAACATTAATTGCTTGTTAATTCATCCAGACATCTGGGGTTGCAGTGTTCTGATAACGTCAATAGATAAACATAATTATAAAATAATTACTGTTTTTATTTGAACTACTAGTTACCTAATACATTTCGAGTGATAAACATTAAATAATTTGAGTACCAGTGATATGACACGTATACCATTTATAATATTATGATTGACAACAATTCTATCTATTCAACTTAAATTGATTACAACTAGTGGTCGTCCAATGGTCAAAATTCGACCATAACATATAATAAATTGTAATAAATGAATTCATTATGGTTATGTTTAACATTCAGTAAAACTATAGACAAAATATATTATATAGATAAAATATTAAAAACAAACAATATTAATCTATTCTCAATTTGACCACAGAGTTTAACAATAAACAATAAGTTATATATATATATATGCGTATGTGCGTTAAATACATGGTAGTGTGTATTCTTTTTATTGATTTAATGTACTTTTTGTGCATAATTTAAAAAAAGAAAATATCTACATTCTACACTCTTTCTTTATGTAAACTATAAGTGTGCAAAATTTAATACTCTTCCGTCCACGCAATTTTCGTAAAAAGGTGTACTAAGTTTTCGCTTTACGTATTAATATATAGATAACTAATAAATTTTTTTGTACCACGAACGTGACTAATATATATATATATATATATATACAAGTCTAATGGTATGTAGTTGTTCTAGCCTATACACACCGATCTACCCATGTTAAAATTTTATTATATATTGGGACGTAAAGATGTAACTATGTAAAGAATTCAGTACATGATACAATATAAAGAATTCAGATCAAGTGCCTAATCCATCGTCCACTGCTTTAAAAGATTTATTGCAATAGTCGTCTGTACGTGTACCTACCTCTGTATCGCTACTCGTGTTTCTACTGTTAAGTAAGGTTGTTTCAATGAGAACTTAATGAAAAAAGAACCAAATTTTGTTGAAATTATAACAGAAAATATATTTAAAATAAATTAGTAACGAATCGAAACATTCAATCAATTATTTGATATTTATTTGTTATTTTGGACAACTTCAGCTTGTGTTAAAGTTGAGACAGTTATAATTTTGTTTATGACATTTTCGTTAAGTTAAATTGAAACAGAGTAATCTAATGGCATATCTGTGTTGTGATTTGACGAGAATGGAATATGGCAATGAAATTACTGGGGTACATTGGTTGGGTAAAGAAGCATAATATCATAAACCTCAGGAATGGATATTTCATGTACTTTTTTTATGCAATTTAGATTGACAAACAAGCTGACGACCCACCTGATAGAAAGTGGTAACCGTCGCCTATAGACATGAGCAGTACCATGCACATAACAGAGTATACTATTTCGTCCCTGATACTCCCCATGTATTGCTATTTCTGAGGACTAAAAGTGTTATTTCTCTATACCATGTAAATTCACTGACATATTCCACGGTTTAAACCGAAACACATCCATGAAAACATAACTGCTTCACGGTGGAAAAACGAATGGGATAGAAGTGCCCAAGCAAACGACTTTTGTACAAAGTCACCCTGAACATAAAGTACATGAAGCTATTCGTCTCTATAAGCGGCAATTATATAAGGCTTCCTCAAGTAACATGACTTACAATTGATTGTACAAATACAAAAGCACCTATGTAACGTTATAAAGGTAACTATTTTTAAACAACTCTGGATAAATTTAAACGAGGTAGCAACATTGTAAATGACATCAGTAAAGTAATTATACTATTATCTACGGAACAAATATTTGGCCTATAAATAGCCATTATACAACTACGTATATAAAAAAAAAAACTTATTCGAACATACCCATGAATGGACTATAATAATTACATTCAGTATGGTAAACATAAAAATTTATTTTTAGACCAACAAAATCCAAGAAAAGCTAAAAAACTTGTAAAATGCAAAAATGATGTCACTAATCTATAAATTCTTGTTCCAGCGTTGCCACATGAAGAATTATTATGCGATGAACATAATCCCCGCGAATACATTAATAAAAAACGATCGAAGGTATTCCGAAGAGATCGCCATTGACTTCAAATGAAGCAAGATTAGCAAAACGTGGGAAAACAATAACAAAATGGACGCAACAACATTAGCTTCCACGCTTAGCACGGAAATCATACACAATATCACGAATTTCGTGTCGCATGATCAACCTATTAATGGTACAAGTCATGGGGTTAGACCACAAGCAAGAATGTTTGGGATCATCGTAAAAGTAGTGTACGCTATAGGAATCATTGGGAATGCAACAGCTATAATTGCCTTGAGAAGAGGAGAGCGGAGAGTGAGGAATAGAAAACACCTCCTTCTCCTGACTTCTTTGGCAGCAAATGATTTAGTTGCTCTGGTAAGTTAATAAGATTCTTTTTGCTTGCAAGCTTAACTTTTTGTCTTTATTTGACCACATTAAATTTTTTAAGACAAATGTATTGGTAACCTACTTGCCAATAACATTGTTATAGTATAGCAGAGTACTAATGAATAATGACAGAGAATGAAGTCAGTTGGCCCATCGTAAAAGTTAACCGGGAATTAATCATGATACTTTCTAGAGGGAACCGAAAGGCACTTGACCTGATAACGACAGGGTTTTCTCTCTTGATAGTAATGTCAGAATATAATGAGTTACCAATCCTTTTTATAAAAAGCAATTAAAGGAACAAATGGCTTATCATCAATTTTAGAAAGAGAAAAAAATCTTTAAAATTCTATGCCAAAAAATATTACTATCTTAACCTGTGTATCTTACCACATGGAATAATTGGTGTGACTGGACAATTGCCGATTTTTTTTATATGACTTAGAATGGCAAAATATGCTTGCGGTCCATCTGATAAAAAGTGGTTACCATCCCATATTGCTATGCACACTGTATATATTGCATAACACACGGTGATGCCTATGGTACTCTTTGCATTGCCATTCTGGAGGACTTATGCTTCCATTCAATGTTTCATTGAATCTCAACCTTGCAAGTATTCAATTTTGTTGCAGAAAAACGAACCGAACAGAGACAGAAATTAATGCAAACAAATTTTACACACAGTGATATGTGTGATACTTATGTATTTTAATTTTCTTTTCCACAATGTTATAATTTATTTATTAAACTTTAATACATTGAGATTGGCTCAGGACTGTTCCTTACTGCAGTTTATGGAGGTGACCTATGTTCAGCAGTGGACAGATAATGGCCGATTTGATGATGATAAATACAACTAAATAGTGTAAATGGCGGACTTAACAGCATATGGCTTTATATCTACCAATCGATGTAAATTATGTGGTAGGTTTTTGTGTACGTTTTAATACATTGTATTTATTTTAGGTTGGCATGATGTGTGCAATGATAGTGGGCGAACACGTGCCGGGAGTGAAAGAAATGCGGGTATTCTGCGCTACGAGGGTGGTACTACGCGTGTTTGGGATTGGAAGTGTTTGTATAGCAGTCACTATGGCACTGGAGAGATACCTCGCTCTTACGAGGCCCTTCTTATATCAAAAGGTGAGTCAACATCCTAGACAAGTCTAATAAGTATGTAAACAGTAGTGTGTAAAGCATTTATAACCAGAAGCGTGTAGATTTCAAGAAAAACAAACGACGACGACTCGGAACGTGACAAAACTAATGATGGCTAAAATAATCTTTACTATTTTTATTTTAAGATAAAAAAATGCACTAATCTTTTATAGACAGAATACATTTAGCATAATTATTTAAATTTAGAACACGAAATGGTCTGTTTACATTCCTACTAGATTTTACTTCGTATACTTCGGCTGGCTGGTAGAGAATGCCTGCAACATAAAATCCATCTTTTGAACTACATTTCGCTGGACAATAAAATTTAAATAAACAAATAAATACTTTAGTCAAATAATAGATATATGAATATATACATTTTAATTATGCAGTAAAATATATAGTCTCTGTTTTAGTTCAAATATTTCGTGCTACAAAGTGCAAAGGCTATCTACGGATTTAGTTGCACGAGTAAAACAAAATAGGGTTGTGAAAAACGGAGTTTACATAATTTATAGTTTCGCAAACAGATATATGCAAAAAAGTCCAAATATAACTTTGTATAGGTTTAAAAGTGTTTGATACCATTTCTAATCCAACCTTGTACGACATATTTGTCCTATTTCTGACACTGACGTCAAAAGTTATAAATAACTTTCACTGGACATAAAGTTATTCTACTGCAGGCCATTAAAATGTTATATATGAATAGGTATATATGGAATACTTTACTACTTTATAAGCGAGAAACTTACCATACAAAACGCAGTTCGTTGCACGTCACTAGATCACTCAAGAACCTTTCTTCCCCATTGATTGTCGGTTCTTTAAGTTATTTGACCTGCCATTACTACTTCATCTCGTTTATTCTTCAGGCTAGATCCGTCTTCTGCAGATACTCATTTCAAATTCTATCATACTAAGAAATTTCGAGCATAGCCCTCTCCTTATCTCGCTGAGCGACTTGAACCTTTTGCATACGGCCAACCGTGTAGGACTGGGGGGAAAGGGATTGTTAGTAATGGAGACTGAGAATCCCATTGCTAGCAATATACCCAACCAGGTCGACCTCCTCGCTGTTCCCCCTGGAAACTATCATAGTTAATTCCTGATGAATTAATTCATCATGATGGGTTAACTGACCTGTTTTTATTCTCATCTATCACCCTTCACTGGTGCCTCACCGGCGTATCCCGTCGGCGCAGGCGGGGTTACCATACCATTTTCACCCATAAAAAAAACCGTGTAGGACCATGTTTCGGTTGCAGGGATCATCACTGGCAACACGCACTAAACTTAGCCAATATCCTCTAATGGGAACTGACCCATTCCCATTAATGGAGCGTTAATGGGTTTTTACGACGACTGCTCTGAAAGCAACTGCAAGGAAATATAACTTAATTAATTACTATTAAACATTTATGTGATACACTTTTATTGTCCTCAATTGAGTGTTCCGTATACAAGCAACTTAATTCATGCTCAGCAGGTTACTCGTGTCATACATATGCCACTGAATGAAAATAGGTAATACGAAATTATATTATTAGTGATGTAATAGTGCCTTATATCTGAATCATATATATAAATAAAAATACTATGCATTTGTAAGCATATCACAAAGAAAAATTGACATTTGACTCATTTAAATGTTCATAATAATCCATGGGACTATGACTACACCATAGCTACGAGGTTCGTGCGAGAGGATGCTTTAAGAAACTGATAACTATTTTATAATTGACATTTACTACGAAAGTACCGTGTGATCCCGGTACATAGAATGGATTACCCCTTTCTGTCCCGTGGTTGTCGTAAGAGGCGATTAAAGGAACTTAATGGTTAAGGGATGGGCAGCAGTGTCCCTTTGAAAACATCACGAAAGCCGAACTGCGATTGCCAACCCACTTGCCAAGTATGGCAACTACTGGTAACACCTATGGCAAAGGCCTATGTCCAGCAGTAGATAGTTAATGGCTGATGTAAAAATAAAATAATAACACTACAAAAGTATGTGGAAAATACGACAAAAACTTTCTTGCACACTTTCGTCTACAATCAACTAAATTACGAAACCGTAGTATTTACAAAAGGATACGACGTTGAAACATTCAAGAAAAAAACATATTCCTTCTTAAAAAGTCAACAAAATACAGAAGGAGTCGCATCGTTACTCTCCTATGGTTGTAAAAAAAAATAAAAAAAAAAATATCAAAAATACAAAACCAATGACGTAATGGGTCGAAAATCTATCAGCGATGATTTTAAAGACACAAAAAATGTAAGTTTGGACACGACATTTATCATGTCCGTTTATTTTATAATACAACATAAAATCAAAATTATTAGCATTATTTAATTTAAATATATTACCAATAATACTAAAAATTTATTCCAAAAAACAACATGGTTACAAAAAATTTGAATTTTCACACAGTAACACGAGGTGCGCATCTGTCAAGTTAAATTTAACAAATGCCTTTTATATCTAAAGAATAACGTACTGAAATCCATTTTTGCTACAATTTTGTATTTACTTTTAAATACACCTATGACCCTAGATATATAACCAGTACCGGACTTAGAGGGAAGGGGAGGGGAGGGCGACTTCAAATCATTTTGAAGTCGCCCTCCCAAAATCATAGCGCGAATTCCCGATGATATAAAATAATCCATTCTACTCATAGGCACCTTAAACGGTGAGGTCACTCCGTGAAGCCTGTAAAGATCCCAGGAAGCTTCTGGGTGAAGCTGAGTTAGCTGTACTAGTTACGACTCATACGTACAACGGCCCAAATAAAAAAAAGAGTCTAATTTTCATTACATTATTAGGCACCTTATTAGTAGTAAGCTTAATAAAACGTGCAGACTTTTTTTTTCGTCGTCAGATAGCAAAAAACTGACCTAAAAAGGGACACCAAAAATATTAAGGCTAGCCCTATGAATGACAGTGTAATATACTCCTTAAACATGACTGGACATAATCCAGTTAACCATTATTGCTTTCTTACTTAAAACACTCAGATCCATCTCTAGATAAAAATATTATAACCATTGTGCTAACAAATATATTAACTTGCGTACTAACATTCCCTTCTGTAAATGGATAAGTGATATCATTTTATGTAATTGTTATTCTTGATTAAGTCTTTATATAGTTTTGTTATCGAGTGATCATAATCCAAAAATGGTGGAATTGCATATTGTTTGCCATCCTAAATGGGAACTCGTTGCGACGTCACTGAGGTATTACTAGTATACTATCACGAATATTATAGTACATTAATATACTTATGGAAAAAGTATTATGCTCTATAGTGAATTTACAAGGTACAGAGGAACATCTGAGTCCTCAGGAATGGCAACGCATAGGCGGTATCATGGATAAAACAGTATACTCTGTTATATCCATGGTACTGCTCATGTCTATAGGCGATGGTTACCACTTTCCATCAGGTGGACCGTCAGCTTGTTTGCCAATCTAAGTTGCATATAAAAAACTCTGTTTCAATAGAACTTATTTATTTATTTAACACGTTATTGTACCAATATTATAAAAAAGTTAAAAGAACCCCAACCAATTACAGTACCTAATTCTTCAAGTCTTCTCGTAACGATTCTCATTTGCCTGTCTTGCATTCACACTCATTAATTTGTCACGATTGTAATCGATTTTAATCAATCTAATGGAAATCCTCCGCTTATTAAAAATAATATAAAAAGATACTCTACATCGGAACACTAGTCACTTTTTAAGGTGTTTTACGCCTCCTACTAGAATTAAGATAAAATTAAGACCTATATAATATAATCGTTAATTTATAACATTTATAGTCAATCTATGTATAAAATGTTACTTCATTTTTTATAATACATCTTTACAAACTTTTTTACTAGTATGAGTGGCGATGATTTGACTTTTCAATTACTTATCCTATGCTTTTCATATAAATAATCTTGCTTTTTCAGTTGTTATTTTTTTAAATCTATTATTTATTGATTGATTTAATACTTTATTGTACACATTAGTTATAAAAATATGACAGAGGTAAACAAAAGTACAAAGGCGCGCTTAACTCTAATAGAGTTTTCTCTCAGCAAACCCAAAGTGGAAAGGAGCATCAATGTCAGCGGATACAGCAGTTACAATACAATTTTTAACCAGACAAAATAAAATTAATTACATTTTATCGTACAAATATACGTATTACATATATATATATATATATATATATATATATATATATATATATATATATATATATATATATATATATTATATATATATATATATATATTATTATATATATATATATATATATATATATATATATATATATATATATATATATATATAAAATAATATTATATATATATATATATATATATATATATATATATATATATATATAAAATCTACTGCAGCGTTCGGACAGTTTTTATTTACTAAGAATACCCGTAAGAAACTCAACTCTACCTACTAGTAGTAACGCGATTTACGTACACATGGATAAAAAAGTCGATATGTTCTTAACGAACCATTTGTATGGAGTATGGAGATTATCTATATAATCTAAGCTTATCATTACGTTCCATTCAAGTAAACTATAATACTATCAGATTGGATTGGTGTAGTCAGTAGCAAATTATTTATATAGCACAATATTAATTTTTTTCATAAGAAACACTAATAACAGTGCGTTCAAGAATTATCTAGTGTACAGTTGTACGTAACATTCGTTTATTATGTTTTTTCTTTTTCAACGATACTCATCAACTTGCAAAGTTTTCCCGCCTCTGAAGGCCGTGATACACACACACGTGTGAAGCTTATTAATTATCTATCTACTTAATGTACTAATAAATACATATTCATTATATATATAAGTTTATTAATAACAATGAGTTTTTTTTTATAATGGATGATGGACGGAAATGTACCGAATCTCGCCTGCGCTCTAAATATGTGCTGGTCTGGTGTT